AGGCTTCGGGTAGGGCAGCTGGAAACAGTAGAAATCGGTCAAATAGAGAGATACCATGCCAGGGGAGTTAGTTCGCCAGAGCGTTTGGGTGCAGCAAACTGTACTCTCCAGCGGACCAACTCCCCCGGCATGTTATCTCTCTATTTGGCCAGTTTCTACTCTTTCCAGTCGCCTCCCGAAGCCTGGTAGAGGCTAGGCGGTACTACATTGTAAAAGGGGCAGTTTCACAAAAACTTGTATTCAGTGGACATCACCGTGAAATACAGTCAAATTTAGTGCCAGGCTGCCGCTAGACAAAGTTTCATCCATTAAGTTAACTACTACCTGTAAATTTACCGTGTTCTACTTGATGGTATTTTCTTCTATTGCGGGTGTATTTCAAAGCACCTGTACATATTGCTGGGGTAGCTTGACAGAATGGCACTCTTAAGTTGATTAGAAAACGACCCAGTCTGCGTGACCAGAGATATCAATTTAGACGAAAACATGAAACTAGACCACAGTAATAAGGTGGGTGGGCGTGAGTCGTAAACTCGTGCTGTGTCAGTCAGTCCTGATACCCGCTGTAGGTAGCCTCTACCAGGCTTCGGGAGGCGGCTGAGAAGAGTAGAAATTAGTAGCCTCTACCAGGCTTCGGGAGGCGGCTGAGAAGAGTAGAAATTAGTAGCCTCTACCAGGCTTCGGGAGGCAGCTGGGAAGAGTAGAAATTAGTAGCCTCTACCAGGCTTCGGGAGGCGGCTGGAAATAGTAGAAATCGGCCAAATAGAGAGATAATATGCCGGGGGAGTTGGTCTGTTGGAGAACAGCGGCAAACTGCACTCTCCAGCAGACCAACTCCCATGGCATGCTATCTATCTATTTGGCCGATTTCTACTATTTCCAGCCGCCTCCCGAAGCCTGGTAGAGGCTAGCTGTATGTGCAAAGGTTTAGTAATCTTATTATTTTTTGCTGCTGTGAATGTTCAAGGGCTAGGCATATCTTGGCAGCGTGGTACGAAATTAATTCAAAAGGAAGCAAGGACAAGGAAGTGAGCGTGAAAATTTTTAAGTCTCTAGCGGACCAACTCCCCCGGCATGTTATCTCTCTATTTTGCCAATTTCTACTCTTTCCAGCCGCTTCCCGAAGCCTGGTAGAGGCTACAGCCTTGCCACTGTAGGATCTGCTTGGCGATTTAGAATAATCGTTTGACAAAGAAAATGGTCAGAAGAACTTCCGTAATCAATACACGAGGATTACTGGCAGACTTGGGCAGAGTCCAAACTCCTCTAGAGTCGGGATTTTCCAACACACGCCCACGGGCGATCGAAACTATGGGTGGTCAGCAGAAAAAAAAAGACCGTGACCCCGGGCGCACGGCCTCTACCGGGCTTCGGTGGCGGTTGGAGAGAGTAGAAATCGGCCAAATAGAGAGATAACTAGCCTCCACAGCATGCCAACAACTGGGGGTTTTGGGGGTCTTCAGGGTCTTTTATGTGCTATTTTCTGATTGCATATAGACAACATAGCCGGCCTGGTTGAATAACCCCCGTTTTTTGACTAGGCTATTTAGAAAACAGCCGAAGACCACCAAACCCCCAGTTCTATAACTTATATAGTATAAGCGGCTACGGAGGCTATGTAGAGTCTCTGGTTTGGAGAAATAGTACTGGATCGATGACCCGTCATACTCTCCAAGCAGAGGTTGGTGGGGGAAGATCGTCACCGTTTTATATATGCCTCGTTTTTTTTTGTCGCCCCCCACACAAAAAAAAACGAGGCATATATAAAACGGTGACGATCTTCCCCCACCAACCTCTGCTTGGAGAGTTGACCCGTCACACGTCGGTCAATATTGGCTTCCGTGTGTCGATCGGACATGTCGGAACGTGTCTAAGAACAAAGTTTCTCCGTATTTGTTTACCTACTTGAAACGCTAATAGTTCTTCAATGATGACTACTACAAAAAAGTTTCCTACATGCCTAAGTTTCGACAACTTGTCAAATGTCTTCACCAGTTGCCAAAAACGTTGACTTCTTTTTCTTGTGTCAAAGGAATTTTTCCTTGATCAAGGAGCTTACATGTATAAGCTTATAACCGCCTTCAGCCTTGATCAAGGAATTTTCCCTTCATATGACTCATTAACAGGTTTCTACTTATCGTTTGCTATTACTTGTATCACCTTGGAGGCTCTACGTTAGCCTCCAAAACAGCCTTCTTGGTAGGGCCTTTTTTCACTGATAATGTGCTGTTTTTTTAATATTGTAAAACAGCTTTAGTTGTCCCTGAGTTCAGACTATGCAACTGTTAGAAACCTGGCATATTAGAACGAATAAACAATCAGAAAAAAAATTATACAGCAACAGCACATAATCAAGCAAAACGCCCACCAAGACGGCCGGTAGCGAGACTAGGTACACAGCACACTTAAAATGCGTCATCGGTGAAGTCAAACAGACCCGCGGGGATGTTTTGCAGGTCTCTGATGTGTCGACTCGAGTTAATATTTGGTTTACAAGCGAGTCACGCGTCTGTGTGGTGCTGATAAAACTGTTGGGATTCGAACTCGTAACCCTTAATCCGCTTACAGTACTAACTCCCACTACCACATCCCTCTCGTATATATAATACATATACCTACATGTAGTCCCTGTTTTATAGGGCAACATAGTGCGCTCGTATACTGTATGTTTCACTGGAGGGATAATTTTGGTAACTGCGGAAGTCCAATGTTTATGTGGCGCGTGTCGGTCCTATTTTAATAGTAAGGCCACACCGAGTTAATTTTAAGCTGGCTCTAGGCGCTAGGCCTAGGTAGTCCATGGTAGTTAGCGACGATGCTGAGCCGGGCACCCAGGCTACCGAAGCTCCACGACTCAAGGACTCAGTACATACTAGTACACATGACATTTGGGGATGTCAAAGAAAAGGAAAGCGAAACTTAAAATAGGTGTGAAATAATCTTTAGGCAAATAGTACCGAAACCGATAGACATATTACAAAATGAGAGAGTTTTTGGCCTAGGTTGATAAAGGTTAGACACTGGTAAACAATCTCTCTCTCTCTCTCTCTGATAAACAATACTCATAGGAAATTCAAACTCTACAACTAGTATACTGACGTAGTAGAGTTTGAATTTCCTATGAGTTTTAGCCCAGGAAAAGCGTTTGCCTAGCTGGCTACCTCCTAGATCCTACCCAAACACATTACGTAATCTACCTTGCTATCCTCTTGTGGATTTTACGTTCTAACTCGACTGCTAACCTTTACCCTAGTCCTTACCCTTTCAAATTGACACGCACTTATCCATAGATTCGATACCACGAAAAGACGAGAATAGAAACGTCTATTGTTTATCTCTCACGCGAGGTGTGCTAAACGCCTCCTGGTAGCGTCACTCGTTGCCATGGCAACGGGTACTACGGTGGACTCTACCACTTTTTTGTGGGGTGCTGAAAAATATTAATAAAAATGACCAAACAGGCTGAAGAATAATTTGCTATTGAAAGAGGGTAGCCGGACAAGGAATGTTACATATTTGCAAAGATGAAAGAAAACGATGTCACATTGTAGTCGCAGGACAGTCTCACGACATTTTTGGGATCGTCGTAATTCTGTCGTAATTCTGTCCTAACAAAATTCAGCTGTCTTGCGACATAGAAAAGGGGCCCAAAACGTCGAAAATCCCCTTTGGATCTTCTGCATTCACCACGTATTGCACAGTTAGATGCAAGGGAGCTTATAAAACGTCACTTATGGAAAATGACAGTAATACGTCATGACATGTATGAGTCATCTGTTGGTCATAGGTCAACAACTTAGTAAAGGTCGCAACAGTGCACTATCAAAGGTCACGCGTGTTTCCCCATATTGCGTCTGATTGCGCAATCCTTCAATGTATGCATGATTTTATAATCTGGAAACATTCTGTAGGCGTTTGAATAGAGTTCTATCTTGGGTTGAGGGGTTTTAAAGGCATCCAGTGCAGTTTTCAAGATATGGAAAACCCGATTTTTCAAAGTCAATATTCTAGTCACCTATCTACATAGTAAGTTGAAACCACTCTGTTCCAATGTGTATTGACTATCATGGAACAAAAATTTCCAAAATTCTGAGGGTAAATGGATACTGGAAGGGCGCAAGGCTGATTTTTAGGGTACCACCCAGAAAATAAAGGACTCATCCCGGGGCTTGTTTCTCCAAAGTATGAAATACTGATTGAAATGTGCTAATGTGAAGCAGCATGTGCCAATATCATAAAGATTGCCTTAATCAGAATATTCCAGTTTTGCTGCTCTGAAATCGAATTGGATGAATCTAAAGTTTGAATTATATTATTTTATAAAACGTCAGAAGGTGCCAATCAAAACAGTTGGATAGCTACGGGAGAGTTGACCAATCAGAGCGCGCGTTCTAAAGTCCGTCAGCTGTTGCCGAGGGGGCGGCACCGTATTTCTGGAACATTCCGCCGCCAGAGAAGATAGTGCGCGCCGCTTCGCGAAAATTCTTCCCAAACTTGTCCCTTTTCCGTCAAATATCTTAAGTCATGAAAGACTTGAGTGTTTTTATGATTTGAGGAGTATTTTTGTGGAGTGTAACTGGGGAAATGTGTGTTAAAATCGTGTTTTGAAGGGTCGCGGAGGGATTCGGAGGCATTCTTGGTGTGAGGCAGTCCATAAGAAGCTGGGATTTGCCCTCGCAGGTCACTTGCAGAATTTTGCAAGTCAAAGAGAACTCCGAAGCCCCTCCATTTCCCAAAGAAACATCGCGATTCAGGCAGCTTTTCCCCCTCTATCCAAGCCTTTCTGACAACAAGTTGTCTGCCGTTTCCCTCAGGACTGTGTGTGCAAAAGGCGGGGAGATTCTCGGAACTATGGCGGGCGACTCCAGGAGTTGTTGCTCGGGCGAGTGTGCGACTGTGCCCGACGGAGAATCCACACAGCTCCGGTTACTGGACTACGATCAGGTACGGTCACTTTTTCCTTCTCTAGAAAATTCTCTAAAACCACAACTGTTTGTGTACTGTAGTCAGCTAGCGTAGAGTGTAGTTTCTTGTGTGTAGAAGCCGTTTTTGAGGGCGGGGAAGTTGAGGTTAGTGAGAAGAACGTGCCTGCGGTTTTGGCACCCAGCGGGTACGGTCGGCCGTTTTGGCACTGCGGGCATGAATCATTGCGTGCATCGCAAGCGCTATCGCCCGATTATCTAGGGAAATCTCTGACCGACAGCTTGCTTGGGTCACAGTCAGCAATTTCTATCTTCCTTTTAGCCGACTAATCGCACAAACTAACCCCGTAAAGGCTTCGCAGTGCTGTTTTCATCTTAGGAAAAAAAATGCGTCACCGGTTTATAAGTTTCTGCTTACCTAAGCTTGCGGCCGGGTTAAATAATAGATGGATGGAGATTTTTTGTTTGTTTTTCTGTGGCCTGACGTTGGTTGCGCTTGTTGCTTGCTGCACAGGTTCGCAAGCTGGATCAGGTCCTGAACGATGTCGTCCCGATCCACGGGCGAGGCAACTTCCCAACCCTGGAGATCTGCCTGAAGTCGCTTGTCCAAGTCGTGAGAAAAAGGCTTGAGGAAGAAGGTATCCCTCTTCGCGATGTGCGACTAAACGGTTCCACGGCGAGCTACATTCTGTCGGAGGAGTCGGCCTTCTGTTACAACGATCTGGATCTGATTTTCGGCGTGTCTCTGGATTCCGCCGGTGATCTGCAGAGAATCAAGGAGATGGTGTTGGACTGCTTGCTGGACTTCCTTCCGTGCGACGTTCGCAAAGAGAGGATCTCACCCCTAACTCTCAAAGACGCGTACGTCCAGAAACTGGTCAAGATCGCCAACGACAACGATCGCTGGTCCCTGATCAGCCTCACCAACAACAGCGGGCGCAACGTCGAGCTCAAGTTCGTGGACAGGATGCGGCGGCAGTTCGAGTTCAGCGTCGACTCCTTCCAGATCGTCCTCGACTCCCTCCTCTCCTTCTACGAACACTCTGAAGTGGCGATGACCCAGCATTTCTACCCCTCGGTGATCGCGGAGAGCGTGTACGGCGACTTCTCCCTGGCGCTCTTCCACCTCCACAACCGGCTGATTGCCACCAGGAATCCTGAAGAGATCCGCGGGGGAGGGTTGCTCAAGTACTGCAACCTGCTGGTCCGCGAGTACAACCCGGCCTGCCACTCAGAGATCAAGTCCCTCGAGAGGTACATGTGCTCCAGGTTCTTCATAGACTTCTCGGACATTGTTCAGCAGCAGCAGAAGCTGGAGAAGTATCTCAACAACCACTTCGTCGGGGACGAGGAGGCCAAGTACAGATACCTGGTGACGCTGCGAAGAGTGATTCAGGAGAGCACGGTGTGCCTGATGTCTCACGAGCGACGTCAGACCTTGAGACTGATAGACTGCATGGCCTACAACATCTACTGCGGTTTGCAGCACCGAAGCCAGGCCATGAACTCGAGCGGACCGCCCTCTCCCAACGGTGTGTTGTACCCCGGACAGGGGTACTTCTACGATGGCAACACCAGCAGTTTCTTCATCACCAATGCCTATCCGACCTGGATATCCTGCCAGTAAAAACACAAGTGGGGGCTCCCACCGGACAGGCAAGCAGGGTGTGGAAAGAAAGAAAGACATAAAACATGACTTTAAAAAACTCGAGAGACAAAAAAATGACAATGATTCCAAGTGCAACAAAAAAGAGAAGAAAAAGACAAACAAAAGTGAGAAGAGAGATTCAGTTGAACAGTGATTGTATGACGTGAAAGAAAAGAAACGGTGCTTACGTGAAAACTGAAGTGATCTTGAAAAGCCTGTTTAATACGTTCGCAGACGAAATACCGGCCAGGGCAGTACACAGGATTCGGATTTGACCCACTACTTTTCTAGCGGATGTGAACAGGACGCTAAAAATAGTCGTCAGACCACAACCTTTGAACTGGTTTGTTGACCAAGGCCGATGCTGAAATTCTGTGCGGACAGGCAGGCAGGTTCCTCATTGGTTAAAAAGGTGAGCAGCGTGAGGCAAACAACTCTGGTACTTTGAACCGTGTATGTTTGATTACGTACTACTTATGCCTAACCAGTGTGTAACATGTAAACGTTGTTGTGCAAAGATACCAGCAAGGGGGCAGCTATAGTATCACTACCAGTGCAGGCCAAATCATGGACCAAAGATTATTTTTGTGAATGTCCTGTATTTTTGTGGAGGCATAAAGAGTAAGACAAGACTGTATTATATGTAAGGGTTAAAAAGGGAGTGAAATGTGTGGCAGTGACCCTAGAAACTGGTGAGGCCACATAAAAGTACTGTTCAGAGAAATTCCTTGAACCTATCTGAGACATCTGTAACCATGGTTACAGAGGAGTGTTGTTAAGTGCGGCAATCTTGCAACTCGGTGAAGATCTTTCGATTCCTCGGCTTCAAAATTCACTCTGAGGGAAAATAAAGGAAATGGAGAAATTGTTTCAAAAGGGCGGCCGGGAATCTGTTGCTAAGGTTGCCCACTGGCATATTCATGTTACTAGGTTACATGGACAGGGATCATGGGGTTTGGTCTACAAAGGGGAACGTGTGTATAAACGCAAATTACTAGTTCTGACACTTAACAAAAGATAACAAGAAGACGTGAAGCACACTTAAGGATCTTGTTCTTGTTCCATCGGGAACGGAACACCAACAAACATTCTGTTAGTTTATGCAAGATAGGAAACAAAACAAAAAACCTACCAGTCACTGAGAAAGTCTTCTTCAGATGCCTGGTGTAAAAACACGTCATCGAGGCTTGTACTCCTATTTTTGTGCACAGAAATTACAAATAAAAGGAAGTTGCAGAAATTTTTGCTATGGTCACTTTGACCGTGAATGTACAAATTCATGTATAACTTAACCCAGGGCTGGATATGTACAGAAGCTGTTTGTATATTGTAATAGCTTGTCAATGAAGCAGTCCAGTGTTGCAGCAAGTATCACAAATAATAGATTAAGACTTATAGACGTGTAGCATATAATTTGGGAGAGTCAGGTTTCAACTTGTAGAAGTTTACCCAAAATCACATTGTTGATACGAAGTGTTTTTTTCCTTCCCTACATAACAATTTGTTGTGCATTTAGGGCTGAGTTGTATCATACTGTGAAAACTACATATGTGCATGTGGTAGTAGAAATGTTAAACTGATCCGATCGAAAGACACAACTTTGTTTTGATCCAAAAACATTTACTTTTCCGTTTATTTTCTTTCTGCGATAACCCCCATCATGGCACATAGTGCAAGATAAAGACAAAATACAGAAATTATGTACAAAGAATACCAAAGACTGACAGAGCTTTATAAGGAAAAAACTTGTATTTTATGACGGCGAAATAATAAATTATTTTCCAGGTATTGGAATGGTGTGTTTGAATCATTGCAGTGTATAGTTACTGTAATGTAAGGAAATACTTGCTATTACTATATATAGTTAAATAGAGCTTCAAAGATTGCCAGGGTTGCTTCTGAAATGCTTAGATTTGGGAAGGAGGGGCCATGTTCCTTGCAATAACAAATGATTTTACAGTAAAACACTTTCCTAGAAATTGGGAGGGGGGGGGGCAACCGTCATGGTTTTGTCTTGTCAGAAATCTAATACTGTGTAGATTCCAAGAAATGCTCCCCCCTGAGAGTAACCTAGCCTCTTCTTTTGACAGTTTTGAAAAGCTCTTATTTTTAGGAGGAAGTTCTTCTGCACTCTGCTAGTGAATGTTCATGTTGGGGGATGATTTCACTGAAATAGCTGCAGTCTTCAGACTAAACAAGTTGAGAAAACAGAACCTTTGGCCAGAAATCTAAATCTAGTCCGTCCACTGTTAGCTTGCCTCCTGGTGCCTGCATGTTGGTATCTCTGCCACAGATGTTTGCACTTTTCCTGGCCTCAGCACCATGTGGTGGACATTAGGCCTGTGGCCCAACAAAAACACCACAACCACAGCTCAGCCCAGGGGGGCAGACATCCATCTACCTAGCCTCTACCAGGCTTCAGGAAGGCATCCATCCTGCTAGCCTCTACCAGGCTTCAGGAGGCATTATATAGCCTCTACCAGGCTTCTGGAGGCATCACATAGCCTCTACCAGGCTTCTGGAAGCTATCCATCCATCTAGCCTCTACCAGGCTTCAGGAGGCGGCTTGAAAGAGTGGAAATTGTACCCTCCAAGCAGAGGTTTGGGTTATAATTATTTGTGGCCTGTTTTTAGACTTTTTTATTGGGCTTTCTTTTTTTGCACTGAATTTTTTTCTTCACCCAACCCAACCCTGGCAAACTACATTCTAGCTGACCAACTCCCCCAGCATATTATTTCTAGCCAATGCGGAGAGGCTGTAGGACTCAGGAGCTATAATAGGTTTGGTAACCAGGCTATGTTATCTTTCTCTGTTTGGCCAATTTCTCCTCTATTTGACCGCCTCCCGAAGCCTGGTAGAGGCTATCACCCATCCATCCATCCTCTCAGGCAGTTTGTGAATAGTTCAGGGAGTTTTCTGCCTGCCAGTGGTGACGAATGTGGTACTTGGTTCAGTCTCCCAGGGCTTGTTTACCTCTGTGCCAGTCTGCAGAGACAGGGTATATTTGCAGTGACATTCACTCTGTCAAAACTGCACCACTCTCCAATCAGACAGTTATGTAAAAGCACTTTATTGATGCAAGAAAAGCACAGCGATTATATAACTTTATTGACACAACAAAAGTACAGCAACTTTCGCAACTATGTAAGAAACAGGAGGAGCAGATAAAAACCCACTGGTCCCGGGCCGGGGTTCGAACCCACGACCAAACCCGGGCACCAGTCCACAGGCAGACACTCTAACCACTCGGCCAAAAAGGTCTGGACCCATCGGCCGGGTCAGTTGGTCTTCGGCCTAGAGCCGATAGCTGGGTCAGTTGGTAGTGCCTATAAACCCCCCACTGTTACAACTAGACATACAAACAGACACGTGGATACAACTTTACAAGACTGTACATGAATCAACTTGTACTTCTTGTTCTAAGTTCTAAAACATTCTTTGACATATTTACCAATTAGTATTTTTTAGTATATACAGTATAATAGGTCTGTTCCGGACAGAAATACACATCTAAAATTTGTTTGCGTTATATCTTTGTGCTGCCACAGTGTAAAGTGGGCCACAATCAGCTGTTGTTATATATGTGATAACATATGAAGTGTGAAGTGGTCGTGCCACTTGGGTGACATTCCCACCATTTCCCTTCCTGTTTCCTCAACAGACCACAGATTCTCTCCTCTAATTCCCCCCAGTTCTTCCAGGGCTCAAAATTCATGTTTGGTAATAGGTGCACTGGTGCACCCAACCTAAAAAATTAGTTTAGTTACACAAAAAAACTTAAGCAGGTCTTACTACTCCTCTTCAGTCTTCTGAGCTTGAATCTGAAATGGGAGCTAACTTCAAAATCTCAAACAGGTACTACAACAAAGATTTTTTAATTTTTCTGACACTTACATGCCAAGAATATCCCGTATACTATTATACATTTGATATGTACAAAAATATTTTGGTGCACCCACAAAAAAAAATTGGGTGCACAGCTACAATTTTCGGTGCACACCACATGCACCCAGTATTTCCAGCCCTGTACATGTCTTCCCTATCTTTTTCTTTATCATCACTCAGACCTCTGTCTTTAGTCAGCCCTGGTTTCTTAATTAGCAGGAATCTTCCTTTGATCTCTGGGGTCATCCTGTTTCCCCTGGTAGGAAGTCTTTGGGGTTTCCTGATATCTTTCCCACAGATTGTTGTGGTGTCTTCTTTCTCCTGTCCTCTCAATGGCTTTTCTGTGGCCACAGAACAACAACAATAATGTTCAAACAGTGGTAGAAATTAGCCTCCGTAGCAGGCTTATAGAACTGGGGGTTTGGTGGAGTGGGATTCTTGAGTGAGATTCTGAATTGCGTGCCAGGTTTGAGGACACAACTCTCCCTTGGCTGTGTATTTCACAGTTTTAGGATAGCCCTGTGTAGATATTAGTAGACAAGCTGTTGTGAAAACGAACTGAACTTTCCAGGAGTGAGATTCTGCTTTGCGTGCCAGGTCTAAGGACACAACTCTCCCTTTGGCTGTGTATTTCACACTTTTAATAGCCCTAGATACTAGCAGACAAGCTGTGGTGAAGACGAACTGAACTTTCCATGAGTGAGATTCTGGTTTGCGTGCCAGGTTGAGGACACAGCTCTCGCCTTGGCTGCATATATCAAAGTTTATCCCTCTCAGCTGAGGAGCTATAAACTGATCTCCGATGACCTTACCTTGTTTGATCTCCACACAACAATAGTGAAGCCATAGTAGCTAGGCCCAGTGGGTTTTGGGGAATAGTGACCAATCTCCAAGGAGATGTAGGGTTTCAGCTTGTTTTTGTTTGCTTTTTGTGGCATCTAATTTGTGTCTTTTAGTTTGCCCAGAAGTAACAGATTTTGTACCCTCCTCCAAAGATCTTACAAACTGCTGAAAAACAACCAAACAAGCCAAATCTTTCAGAGATGTGTTGAAATCTGGTAGAGAACAGTTGAAGGAATGTGTGTTTGATAGCCTGGGAGACAGCCGTTTTTGTACCCCAAGATTTGATGGACCAGCAGAAAGACTTGCACAGAGAGAGACTCAGTAGGACATGAAGCAGGAGACTGATGGAGAGGATTACAGGGATGCCTGCTGAGAATATACTGGAACAACAACAATAGCCTCTACCAGACTTCAGGAGGTGGCTGGAAAGAGTAGAAATTGGCCAAATAGAGAGATAACATGCCAAGGGAGTTGGTCCGAGTTTGGCAAACTGTACTCTCCAGCCGACCAACTCCCCTGGCATGTTATCTCTCTATTGTGCCGATTTCTGCTCATTCCAGCCGCCTCCCGAAGCCTGGTAGAGCCGCCTCCCGAAGCCTGGTAGAGCCGCCTCCCGAAGCCTGGTAGAGGCTATGGAGGAGGAAGCTGGATGGAGACTGGTGGGCGGATTACAGAGATGCCTGCTGGGAAGACTGGGACAACAACAAGGCTTGAAGGCAGGACTGAATCTGGGTCAACTGTCATCTCCAAGCAGAGGTAAGGTTCCAACTTAGTCTCTTTGTAACATGTTCAACTTCCAGCCTTGTTACCAAACTTATTTTAGCTGCTCAGTCTCGTTGTCCTGTCGGCAAGTTACCAAACCTAATTTAGTTGTCGAGTCTCTTTTTTCTACTTTTCAAATTTTTGCGGAGAGTACATCTTACTAGAGGAGTGCCTTTCTTATTGTATGTGGAAGTGAAGAGTTAAAAAAAAAAAGACATAAGAATTGAAGAAAGATGCACTTCAAATCAAATCAAATCTTTATTCAGTAAGGATCTTGAGTAGCCTGGGTGCCATCTGATTTGTAATGGCAACCATGAAACACAAATCTGATGGCACCCAGGCTAGATCTAGCGGGCAACCCCCAAATTTTGTCCTTGTTACAGAGAATTTCCAAACTAAGAATAGATCACATGTAAACAATGACTTACACTCCATGTATTATCATATATGTAAAGCATTTTCAAAACCATTTACACAGTTAAAATCTATGTTCACCTTGTCCCATCCTCATATCTCGAGGGTTGGAGACTAAATATGGTTGCTGGAAGACGTACTAAATGCTGCATGGTTACATAACCTGGTTTCCGATCCTATTTTAGCTGCCGAGAGTCTTCTGTCTGCTCAGCAAATAGGACAAAAGAGGCTCGGCATCTAAAATAGGTCTAGTACAAACCAGGCTGACAAAAAAATAGGCCTGTAAGAATTAGGAGAGCAGAAACAGAAAGACACTCCTGGTCCCGGGCCGGGATCGAACCCACGCCAAACCCGGGTGCCAGCTTCAGACCCTGAATAGGCCTGTAAGAATTAGGAGAGCAGAAACAGAAAGACACTCCTGGTCCCGGGCCGGGGTTCGAACCCACGCCAACCCGGGCGCCAGCTTCAGACCCTGATGCTCCTACCGAATGGGCTAAAAGGTCTAGACCCCTCAGAGGATCAGTTGGTACAGGTCTGGTAACCAGGCTAGTGAAACATGCATACATGTACATGTAAAACACAGACACTTTGCTGGCTTATATAGAAAGTTTATTGCAAATACATGATGTACATGCCACTCGCTACTTACAAATACAAACTACATGTATTTAGAAGAAGATACAATGATATACATGTACAGTATGAGAGACTATGTGCAAAGTTACACTACAATCATCTACAACATACATTTTGTACTTGGTACTAGACTAAGTTTAGTTGGGTTTGACTTCTTTGATTGTTTGAAGGCAGTGGGATACCCACTATGATATGTGGGTTCTCATAACAGAGGGCCTGCATGGGGGGGTACTGATTATGAATTACACAAAA